GTGCCTGGTATGCAAAGGCCAATAAAGATACCAGGGGTGAAAGTATAAAGAAGGTTTATTGCTAGCAATAAAAGGTGCGAGCAGAATAATTTCACGCAACAAGCACACCAGATCACTACCACTAAGCATCTTTTATACAGGAGTTTAAGTTCTCACCAGTATATTTGTTTGCTGATTGGTTGTAAGGAGTGACGCAAGAAGTTCTTTACTGAGCATGTCTCTATACCTGTGTTTTAGCTATGTATCTCATTTACATACATGTATGTTTCATTAGCATACTTTTTCCCCACCTAGGGGCGTGATTTTTAGTATTTTAATGAGCTCTTTGACCCAGTACTCTGATTCTGCTTTTGTTTTCAAGCCTCCTTTATCTAAGACTGTCTCCTCCTTATCATTGCAGATGGGCATTCGTCACATAACATTCACTTTTGCTTGGTCTTTGCATAGTGGTTTCTAGGTCACTCCTTACACTTCCATGATCCTGCCTGGCTGCATGCTGCCCATGTGTCTGTGTGCGTTCAGACGCATGTGCACCCGCTGCCTCCAATCACCCTCCCCCTGCTCCCACCAGTGGAGCAGAGCAAAATGCCTAGAAGAGGCAGTACATTAGTCAGACCCGACTCACCCAACATCTATATAGGTCGGGCACTTCGGGGCTTTTTTGGCACTATTATTGAATAGCTGATTGAATCAACTTCAGCTAAAAGTGACAAAAAGCCTTGCTGAAGTGACCAATCTATACAGACACTGCGGAGCAGTAAGTAGCATGCTGCTGCTGCCGGTAAAGCATGTTTTGGTGGTTTTTTGTTTTTGTTTTTTGAGGGGAGGGGACAGTTAGTGTCTGCAAGCAACTGTAATGTCATGACTCTCTAGGGTGTAAAAAAGGCCTGGAAATGACTCCTGGTTTTGATAATTTGAAATCACTTTTAAAGATCTATTTAAACCCAGGAACTTAATTCTGCCATTGATTTACATCAAACAAATCAGTGGCAGGATGTAACACTATTTAGAGCAATAACCATTTTAGTTTTTTGTGGGGTTAAAGTGCTGTTTTTGTGGGGTGGGGGGTTGTTCCTTTATGAAAGAAGAATCAAATTAATAGAAATACAATTGAGCACTTTTTTGTATGAAAGTTTAATTAAGTAAGATGTGATGTGCCATTGTTTAACTTTCAGAATTGTCTATTGTGAAGATGTTGTTCTAGATTATTTAAATTTTTTGCAGACTTGTAATAAGCTGTGAAAATTGAAAAATCATGCTGAATTATGCCAAAGGATCCATATATCATTTTGTATACAATGCTAATAAAAGTATCAGTGTTATAAGCAAAAAATATATCTGCCACTCATGTTGCAGGATGGTGTTTATCATCAGTAATGGGACATGGCTGGGCGTCCAAGACAAAGTATAAGCAGCGATGTCCAATTTGCGATCATGAATGTGTGCGCTGGCAGCCACCTTTTGTTTGTTTGTTTTTTTCCGTTTCCCCAACCCTCCCCCAAGTTGGCACCTGAGGCCATTGCCTCTATCTTCCCACCCCTACTTACGCCATTGGTATTTATAATTTGTATCCAGCAACTACATTTCCTTGCAGACAGGGCATTTTTACACATGCTCCAAGAGCTGCTCTAATTAAAGCCCGCAGCATTTTGTGCGTCAGTGCCCTGTGCTTCAAAATGGCAGTGGGGGCACTTTAACTAAAGGTTGTTGAATGAGATTTAGTTAAAGCACCCCCCACTGCCATTTTGAAGTGTGGGGATGCTGATACACGAAACACAGAAACACAAATCGAGTCTGCTGGAGTATGCTAATTATCATGTTCCAGCAGACTCGATTATTGCATTGTAATTACACCACATCAGAGCAGTCTCCCCACATGTCTACAGGCACCCAGGGAGGCCAGGATGTGCTGTCATGCCTTCCACATAGCACAGATCTCATTACGTTGCTGTCCTGAAAGAAGCAAATGTTATTCATGTTACCTGTGTGCTCTTCAAACAATTAAGATATGTGTATGATGCACCAGTTAGGTGCATGAACTTCAGAAAAGAAGTCACTGAGTTGCTTCCTTGCATAGCAGTAATATACCTGGTGTTTGTGCGGGCTGTCTCCAGATCCCATCCTCGTTGCCATGTGCGGGCAGCGGGGAGCGATCCGGGCCCTTTTTTGCGCCGCGCGGGCTGTGGCCAGCAGCCCGGGCTCGCTGGGTCAGAGAGAACAGGCGACACGCTGGAATTAGGCACGGACGCGTAATGGTTGATTCAAGATTGTTTACTTACACCAAAGATGGTCGCGGTGTAGGCTGGACAGTTTCCCAGGCACAGCTCCGCTTAAATCCTTGTTTGAGGACTCGGACAATATTCGATCACTCCCACGGAGTTGTCGAGGCTCCGTGGATCCTTTTGTTCACTCACAATTCACTCACACGAAGTTTGCTAGGCTCCGTGGGTCCTTTTTTTGCACGCAGGGAGAGGGATACGTCAAGGTTTGCGCTCGGTGACGGGGAGAGGCTAGAGGCTGATCGGACCCCTGTTGCCTGCTTTAAATGCACTGGGTTTGATAGGCTCCGCAGCGCTTAGAAATCTTCACACAGTGTGAAGTCTCCTCCTCCTGGTGTTCGTGGAGTTCTCCCTTACGGGGGTTCTCCTCGGAGTTCTCCAACTTGGGCAGAAACCACCCAAGCCTTTTATACGGCTAGCAAGCCAATCGCTAGCCGCCACGTGTGAATAATTTAACGCAATCCAATAATGGGGCTCGAATTATCATACAAATGGCGGGAACTCTTTGCACCGAGCATTTCTTAGCTGCAAAGAAGAAATGCACACTGCAAAGAAAGCTACAATTTGGCGGGAAAATAATTCAGTGGTGCCAAAGCGCACACAAAAACAAAAATCACACCCTTTGGGTTGTGACAGTGTTTTCTACAGATTCCTTTTTTTTAGTGAATATGGGCACAAGGCATTATATCCTATTACTGTTTTCTCATTGTCATAGACAGTACCCCCATTTCTGAACAGCATGGATCTGCTAGGGGTGGTGCGCACAGTAACATTTCAGGGATTGCTGTGATTTAGGATTATTTATTTGATTTGAGTTGTATGCCGCCCTCCTCAAAGGCTTGGGTGGCTTACAATTAAACAAGATGTCATAAAAAAATCAGATATTAAAAATGAGATAGTAAACAATAAAACAGTTGCCCCAGTTAATACACCAAAACTTAACCCCACAAGCTAAAGCCTACCCAAATGAAATAGGTCTTATAATACAGGCCTTTTATACAAATGGGCCTGATTTAGTCATGAGGAAAGGAAGTACAGCATAGAGTTTCAGGTTCAAGCTTATGGTTCTGGAGACCTGCATTCACATCGCTGCTCTGCTACCAATTTTTGTTCTCTGTTTCACTGACCAGCACCATAATAGCTGATAGCTGCCAGGAGGAGGAAATGTCATGAGAGTCTGGTAGAGAACCTACTATCCTAGCCTGGAATGTGCTGAGTACCAGTGTAGACTTTGGAGCAGGTCTACAAAGTGCAATGCAGTTCCTAAGTTAATTATCCATGTATGGTATTACCTTGTGCCATATAAATGTATTTTTACCTGCCAGGCTCTAACAGGCCTCTACTGAGCACCTACAAATAATGATTTTCAGGAGTTTATAACTTGAGCTAAATGTAGATGGACTTTCATGGGGATAGAAAAGTCTTTCTCTGACTCCCAAGATCACTCTGCAGCTAAACGTCGGGTCCCTGCTCCAAACTATAAAGCTGGTGGAACGATTAAATGAAACATTTGTAAGAATGGTCTAACTTTGGAAGAGCAATATATTTTTTCTGGAAGGTAGCTAAGCATTTTTTTCTGAAATGTAGAAATAATAATAATGATAAAAAAGAAATAAACTTTCTGGAGGAAACATTAAGAATGGACAAAATCAGCTCAAAATGTGGCTAAGCTATAAACAATTAAAAGAGACTCTTATGGGTGAGAGTGTTAGTCGATATAGGTTAAAGCTCAGCATATAGCAGTTGTTATTTTAGATCTCTTAGAATTGGTCCTACTGCAATAGTTAGTCTTTCTATTACAGTGTTTTCTTACACTGAATTCAACAGTACAAAGCACACCTATGCTGAGATCCTCTTGAATGATGTATGCTAAGGAAACTGTGTGAAATTGATACTACTGATGAATTTAAAAGAGTTGTTCTGTATACTCAGCAGTCAAAGGAAACCAGAGGCTTTTTGTTTAAGTGAAAAGGTAGCTTTTTAGATAGCGAGTGTTTGCCTTTTATACAAATGGACCTGATTCTGATTAACAGTCACTGGTTTTACCTCAGAGTGATTTCATTAAAGTGGAGCTATTCCTGATTTATACTACTTAAAGTGAGGTCAAAATCAAGTCCATTGTTAGACCTGTTATTGTTTGATTTTACTAATTCTTGATCCACCCATACTTATTTGTAAAGGTGCAGTGGAAAATGTTGATCTCATTACATGCTCAGGGTTACTGGGAATGAATGAATGCTTAACTCTTGAAAGTGAATTTCTTGGTATTTCTTGTAACACAAAAATAATGTTTTATTAGCAAAAAATACAAGAAAAAACCTGGAAGGTGTTGTGTGTTGAATTAGTTGGTATTCTTCCATAAAGTTTTGGAGGAAGGAGAAATGCATTAACTATATGTAACTGGGTAACACCATGCCTGGAGAAGTGAGGAAGATTCTGCAGAAGGTCAGTTTATATCTTAAAACATGAGATTGATTCATATCCTCTGGCGTAGTTACAAATGTTACTTATGGTCATAAACAGCCTTCTTACAAATCCAGATAATGTATGTTTCTCTCTGACCATGAATGGCACTAAAGTCCACAGACTGATTATATAATAGGATCTTTAGAGGTGCACCGATACATTGGTCCCATATTGTATCAGCACTGATAAAAGGAAAATTGAAATGATCAACATTATCAGCTGATGTGGCTGATAATGTTGCTGATTAAATGCCCCCACAGGTGGCAAGGAGCACAGCCCAGCAGCATGGAGAGCAGCATCCAGCTGGTAAGTCTGTTGCGCGGGAAGGGACGGGGAGGGAAGGTAGGGGCATGGCAGGGAGCAGACCAAGGCCCCCACGGTGAGGGAGGGAGCGAGGTAGGCACTGCACAGTTGGGGTGGGCGGCAGCAGCAGCAGTGCTGGGAGAGAGGCTATGGGGTAGGCTACACAGTCACCCTAAAATTTGCCGTAGCCCCCCCTCCCTGCCCTGAGCACAGCCTGGGCCAGCCTCCCCACCAGGACGAGCCCAGCATTGCCCCCAGCCCACAGCAGAAGCCTGCCCTCACCCTCCACACAGATACAGGGGCACATGCCCCCCATGCTCTCTTGGGGTGTGTGCAGCAGTGGGAGGTGCCCCCCCGCATGCCCCAGACAACCCACTTGCAGCTCTGTCCTGTGCCCCACTGTGGCTGTGCAGTGCCTGCCCCAGCCCCACTCCCTCCCTTACTATGGGGGCCTTGATCTATCCCCTATACTGCTTCCATCCCCTCTTGCCCCTTCCCCCACAACAAACTTACCAGCCTGACAGTGCTTTCCAAGCTGCTGGGCCACATATCGTCAGTTGGATTTGTATCAGCCAATACGGCTCATTAAAAATCAGCCATTGGTATTGACCCAAAAATCTCTATTGGTGCACCTCTGAGGATCTTATTTTTCTTTATAACATGCCTTTTCAATTACAGCAGGTATTTTCTCATTTTTGTTTTATGGGGCAGAATATGGAGTCTGTCAGTCTTTTGCAATTGTGCAAATAATTGTGGACAAATTATACCTTTTAATTAAAAAAAAAAAAGTCCAACCCCTGATGTTAGCAGTCTCTTATGCATTAAACTCTTCATATATTTAAATAGTTTTCACTGACCTCTTCAACTGTTTTTAAAATGAATTTATCACATTTTTTACACAGTCTTCTATGTGGTGAGATGCCATTGTTTGATATAGTGGTGTTTATATTTCATGTGTGTATATACACATACATGCACGCACACACACAGACATGAAATTTCCCTCTTTCTTTGAATTGCACCCAAGTATCTTGATGGTTGAATTTTAGCTCCTTTTGGGGCTGAAAACTTATGGTTTTCTTACTAGGTCTGAATGCTGAAATCCCATTAAGATATAAGTTATAAAGGGTATAAGATTCTTTTTAATGTACTTTGCATCCAATTCAAATGACATGTCAAATTCCTCTGTGTGTTTAAATTTCATATTTCATGTTTTATATTAATGGAAAGTGGTATTTAGGAGCAGAGTTAGTAAATTCACTGATCAGTTGTATTTATGAACAAGAGCTAAGAGGCTGGGCTCACAGTAGTGAAAAAAGGCTGAACTCCACCATTTATAGAATCTAGTTGGTATGAACCTCCAGTGAATCTTCTGTTCATTCTTCTGCTTTATAAAAGGATAGATTTAATTGACTTTAAATAATGTTTGACTATTGAGTGTCTATCCAGGAATAGTTCTAATTAAGTGGCCTTTAGCTATAAACTCCTTGGGACAGGAGCATTGTTGCCTTACATTGCTGTGAAACATCTTCAGGTAGCATTTTGTTTCTATACTAAAAATAAGTAGTAAGAATGATTTAGCATTAGCTCTGACATCTGATCATAAAGGAATATTTCAGACTTGGAGAAAGGACCGTCTTAAAGACAGCAGAAAATGGTTACTTAAATAATACCTTAGCGTAAGTCGGCTGTTTCTGCTGTTTCAATAGGAGGGGTTTCATGAAGCTGACCTCTGCTCAGGACATTCATTTAAAGAATTCTAGATAAAGGATGCCAAAGGTTAAACTACAGTGATTTTTTTTTTTTTTGTATTAAATCTTGCAACACTTTCTGTCTCAAAGCTTCAGAATACAAGTAGAGAATTTCCTTTATTTTTAGTCCTTTTGTTATAGATATCTAGTATTTGATTTAGAAGCTATAATATTTCTGTACAAGATTGAGTTGGAGAAGCCAGTTAATCTGGATCTGATTTGAAACTACAGTTTTAAAAAAGATTAAGAGCTAGAATGAAAGAGACTGGATGTTTGCACCTGGACCAGGAGAGGTGCATCTCCAACAGCACACAAAAAGAACAGTAACAAAAGTAAATGGTTTCTGCAGGCAGCACATTGTGATGATGCCCATTATAGTTACAAAGGCAGCTGCTGCTTGAAAAGGAAGCAGATGAATTTGAAACACAGACTAGGGCAGAGATGAAAAAAGAAATTGCCAATTGCCTGCAGGGATGGGGGGAGGGGGAACTCTTGGTTCTTTGTCAACTAACAACCCTATTTTTTTCTGACAGCTGGGTGGAAAAAGTAGATACTATTTGGACTCCTCACTATATTCTCAGCTGCCACTCAACCAGGGACACTCCATCACACACAAAGAAACATCAAGAAGCACTTTCTGTGTCACTCCTGTTAGATGTGGAACAGTTTGAGGAAATATCACTGAAGCTAAGTACAGACAGTCAAAAAGCCCAAGGCTGAATCAGTTAAATTTTTACAGGTTAATGTAAGTTGCGTAGATTGAACTGATAAGCAAATGAACAGACATTCACTTTTGATTCCAGAACACAGCCACATACCTGCAGTGGCGCAGGCCAGAAGCTGGGGGGCACTAAAGCACACCTCCTTGCTCATCTGGAACAGACAGCTTCGGCCAAAGCTGTCCTGCCTACCCTTCAAATTGGAGTTTGCAGGGGAAGTGCAAGGCATCCTGAGATTGGGGGTGGGGTGGGGAGCAGGCTGAAGTAACTTGAATCTGGAGGAGATCTGGGACCGAAGTTCAATAAACTGATTTCACCTAAATCAATTAAATCTGATGCTATATCCATCCAGGTTTATCTTAAACTGGTTTCAGACATTTTGAAAGTGGTTTATGTGCACTGAACTTCTGTTGTGATACAGATTTGAGCTGGTTTTCAATCACTTACACTGGTTTATGTGTAATTTCTGTCCCTAGCCTGAGTGGCTACCCATGTGATGTGAACAACAGACTCGGTACAAAATACCGTCTGTGGATTTGTGGCCAGTTTTAGAATTTGGTTCATAATATGTACACTGGGGTTCTGTTTATTACAGTAGTAACTTGAGGGATTTAATTATACCAACACAAGGAAAGATAGTCTCTGCCTTGCTGTAAGAGTTTACAGAGTAACTAAGGGCCTTGTTACACATTTCACTTTGAGCTGCCCAAACATTCATCTGTGTTAGTACTAGCTTGAGTTTGGAGCAGTTGCACATTAAAGCTGAAAACCTTCTCTGACTGTTCCCAACCTGCACAGCTGTGATTTGCCACAAGAGGCCTGACAAGCAGGTCCCTGACTAGGAGCTACCACTGTGAGTTGCGGCTACAGGGCTGGTGGCCAGGACAGACTTCTATTTCTGCCCTAGGTGGAGATGAGAGATGGATTGGGAAGGGTTACAGGAACATGAGGCTGGGAGGCAGAGAGTTAATGGGATAGGGGGTGAGTAATGAAATGGGGGTGGGAGAGGGATGATGACAAGAAGGAAGTCAGCCACTGAATGATAAAATAAAGTAAAAAAAAAAAAAAAAAGAATTTAAAAAGAAATACAGAAATAGGAAGTCAATTATAGAATGTCTCATGTTTTAATTGAGAAATTGGGATTTGGTATTCAGGCGTGGTCATCTTCCCGGGGTGGCTGGGAGGTGGGACTGGTGAGGGAAGGTGCTTTTTGGGAAGCTGTTGCCTCTGCCCTTGACCCCAGAAGGAAACCCCAGCTCATAGGGACACAATCCAGCCCCCTACTTTGTTTACACCCACCTTTTTAGACCACACTCTTGTGCCCATGTCCTGCAACCTGGCTAGCTGGCATGTAGGGCCATGCGAAGCTTTGGTCCCTGATTTGATCTGGCGGATATTCAGCCTGATTCAATGGGCAAATCTCCAAATCTGAATTGAATCAGAGGGCCCTTTAATCTCTCCGAATCGAATCGGAACCCTCTGAATCGATTCAGAAAAATTAGGTGATTCAGACAGACACAGCTTTAAATGTTTTTTCTACATACCTCTAGGTAGCAGGCGGCTCGTGAATGCTGCGATGTTGGGGTGCATGGGCGGTTCCACAGGAGCGTGGGGGGGCTCCCCAGGGCACTCGGCAGCAGACTCCAAAGTGGACCAGAAGCACTTCCAGTCCACTATTGGGTCTGCCAGGGAGCACACTGGGGGGGCCCCTCTATGGCTTCTCTGGCTCGGCGACTGGTGCCTCCTGGGTCTGTGGTGGCACCTGGGGTCTCCCCGTGGCTAATTGCCGAGCCGGGAGGGAAGAGGAGGGGACAGCATGCTCCCTGGCAGACCCGTACTTCCGGTCACTTCTGGTTTCGCTGCCAAGCACGCAGGGGCTCCCCTGCGCTCCTGTGGGATGCTCCATGCACCCCAGCATTACAGCATTCACAAGCCATGCTGGTACCTCAAGGTATGTAGAAAAAACATTTAAAGCTGTGTCTATGTCCAAATCGCTGATTCTCCAAATCGGCATTGAATTTCGGATTTGGCCAAATCAAATCAGGGACAGTGATCCAAATCAAGTCACTGTCCCCAATTCAGGCCGAATCTGAATAGAATAGGGCATGTTTCGCACACCCCTACTGGCATGTGCTCCACAGGTTGTTTGCATGGGGTTGCACCCCTTAGAGTGGGAAGGTTGCATACCTGGGGCCAGGAGGTGGAGCTAACTTGGTGCCAGAACCACCCCCTGGGCAGTAGAGTTCAGGGGGTGAAAAGTCTGCTTACAGAGAACAGGAGTTTGGGGGAGGAAACAATCCATCCTCGGATTTTGGCAGACTGCAACCTGGGCAGCTCATCTGTGGGGAGTGGCCTCACATTAATGGAACACAAACTAGGTAACTCATGTCAAAGGTAAACCTGCCCTGGATAACTTTGAGCCATCTAAAGTATGCTAAAAACTAGTTTCAGGTGTTCGTATGTAATCCAACCATAAGCCACCTAAAATTACTGTGTAACAAGGCCCTAAATAAGACAGATAAAGAGGAGAGGAAGTAAAAGCAAGAGAAGTAGTGTTATGGCCAAAGGCACACAGCAGTTCAGTGGTAGAAGCTACACATAAAACCCAGGTCTTCTGATTTTTTTGTTACTGCCCTTTCCACTAAGATTAACTTCAGTTCTAAGTAAAGCATACAGTAATAGGCCATTAATTACTATTATTTATGTGCACCTTCAATGGAGGTACAGTTGCTTATAGAAAATCTGAATTTGACTATGGAACCACTGATATTAATGGAAATATTGCTATTGGTTTACATAACAATGGCCACACTGTTCCAGACAGTTCTGGTTTTCTCTAATAAAAAAAATTGCAAATTTTCTGATTAAAAAAAAAAAAAAAGCAAAATCCTCATTTTTCCATGATTAAAATTAAACACCACTCATATATAGGTATCAGCTGAACACAATGTTTTATTGATATATTTACAATTTCAAAGCAATCTGGAAGCCAATCAGTGCCTCAGTCACTAATAAAATAAATTCTAAATACAGATACATGTTGGCATTTGATTTTGGGTTTTTTATCATGGAAAATCAGAGCTACTCCGCCCTCTTCGTTCGCCAGGACATGGGGCCAGCTGTGGCTGTCCCTTGCCCCCACTGCTTTCTGGTGCTCAGCAGCCCTGATATGCTGGTGCTCTGCCCATGACATTTGCCCTTTACTCCCAA